GCGCGGGCCGGCCGCCCCTCCCCGCCACTGCAGTAGCTCTTCCTTCACTCCGCACAAGCCCATCTGCCCGTCATGCCGCCAGCTCCCCACGTCCCCTCGCTTTCCCACCACGTCCTCCTTCCTCTTCGCCTTCCTGCGGTAAGACAAACCTTCACCTCACACATCCAAAGTCACTCCATGCTCCTTAACACCACCTGGTCCCGAGAGGACCCCAACTCCCCAAGCCCCCCCAGAAATCCGCTCCCGACTCTCCCATCACCCCACCTTCCTCTGCACGACCTGCCTTCCCAGCTACGAGCGCCACACCGACCGCGCTGCCCCAGGAACGCGCCGGGCCCCGTGGACAGTTCTGGGACCGGCATCCGGCGCAGGCCTCCTCCAGAGGGGAAAGCTAGGAGCCTTTACGATCCTTGAAAACGAACTGAAAAAAACATCCAGTCTTCTGCACCTAGAAATATAGCCTATTTTTCAATATTTACTTCTAGAAGCACAGGCACCTTTCACACCTCTGTATGATGTGTGAGCTTCTGTGAGACATAAGCAGCACATTTAGACACATGCACTTTGTTTCCCACTGTAAAATGAGCATTACTCTTTAAATTAAAGCCTGTGTGGCTGTTCATCAAGTTAGGGTGTTAAAAACGGGATGCTAGATCACCTAGCTTGCCCACTAACACCATCTTTTGTCACTCCTACTGATAAACTCGAAGAGCGAGACGGGAATCAGGAAATGGATCTGGTTACCAATTATTCAGAACACCAACCATTTCTCCAACCTTACTTCTCCTGCAACATTACTCTGTCTTAACTTAATACACTCAGAGGCACAACAGGTACTTTAACTTTTGTGAAGGGCTAAGCACTATTCCAATTCACAAACTAAAATGCATAGTTTGTTGCTGAGCACTGTGACAGTGGGAAAAAATTATCAGTCCAGAATTGTTCTGTGATTAAAAAAATCAAGTAATGGCCTAGGAGTAACTCCTGTTTTTTGCGTTACAGTGTGCAAAGCATCACTCTAGCTGTAAGATGTACAATTAAAGATGCACAATTTAAGATACTAATTTTAAGATACATTAAGATATAAGGTCCAACTGCATACTTTCTGTTGCTTTGAGGCAAGAAGGGCAATTAGTGGGTGATGCGATAAGAACACAGTTGTGCAAAGACCTCCTCCCTATTCAGATCAGTTATCTCCAACACTACATTAAATGTACCTACATACTGCGCAAGATACTGCTAAATCGTCATGTGCAGCTCGTTTTAGACAGAATGCTTTCATCAAGACTTGAGAATAATGGAAAGAAAAAAGAAAGGAGGAAGCTATCACTCCAGCCCATGAAAAAAGAAGAAACCTGGCGGCATTGGCTTCCCTGTTACGGCTTAGTTGTCATTACATTATTTTCAACAAGTAAGATTCTGCTTACAGCCTCTTAACTTCTGCGCTTTTAAAATTCTATTATAGATTGTCATTTTCAGAACACTTAGATGACAAAGAAGTTCTCTTTTCTAGGAATCTTCCTTTCATTACAATGTCTCTAAACAATGTTTACGGAAACTGAAGCCACATGAATAATTTTGAAGATGATAATTCTGAAAATTACATCTTAGAGTCTTCTGTAAGAACTATAAAACTAGACCACTTCAGGTGATAAGGTCACCGAACGATTTGGGTGTGGAAAAGAGAGTTGTGTCCTAATCCTGTAAACCTACATAACATTTTATTAAAACTCAACTTCTGAAAATTAGTCAAGCTCTTCACAGGCCTAAAAGCAGAGGCTAGCTAACCATAGACTACAAAGCTTGAAAATTTGCCTCTGAGTTTTTTTTTGAAAGCGTATTAACAGATGTGCAAATGTTCAACTAAAAAAGATTCCACTGCCCAGGATGGACTTTGAAATGTGCAGGGAAGGAGTTCTATTTTTGTAACAGATCGTATGAAAAACCCCAAAATCTCAAAATAAACTATTGTATTACAAAATATTAATTAATGCAGAAGGAATATTTCTGCTGCTGTGTTCTAGCTCTTCGAATCTTAAGCAGCCCTACAAATCCTACTGCCATGAACTTTACTTTGTACTTTGAATAGAGAGGTGGCAGAGCTACAGCCTGCCCAATGTTCTGTTCAGCATTGCCCTATCCTTTCTTCAGATATTTTCTGTTAATAAGCTGTAAAAGGAATTACTTTAAGCTAATGTCTAAAGTGCCCCTGCATTAGTAATTTCCTTTGCACATAGTTAGCAACTCTGTCTTGCTCATACCAAATACCTGATTTAAAAACGAGGATTATTGCAGAAATTAGAGGTGGGTTTTACTGTTTGTTGACTAAGTTAGCTAACTCACAGAATCAATACAAGTATAATCTAACTTTCCTGAATGGGGTTTTAATATTTTCCATGTGGTTTATTTATATTGATAAATAAATCTTTTAAGTCTCTGGATTAAAAATTACATATATGTAAGTAAAGGGGGCAATTTTATTTTCTTCCGATGATCTCTATGGGGTATTGTAGCCCTAAGAAAATTTGCCTGGGAGTAGAGTGAGATTTAAATACAATATCCAGAATTCACCCCACCACCACTGTATGATATGCATTCTATTGGTTTATAGGTCTTAAAAATTCATAAATTCCTATTCACTGTCTACTGAAAAGGATATGAAAGTCCTAAGGCTGTACAGACTATGGGTACTAAAATGATTTTAATGAAAAAGACAGTTTCTTATAAACCAAACGTTGCATATCACTATAGAACATATGAACAACTTCTACTTATTTCTGTAATTATGCACTTTCACATTAAGTTTGATTAAAAAAAGAAAAACAATGAACATTTACTGTCCTTAAGTTGAATTTTAATATTTAAGAAAACAATGGCACATAACTTTTAAAATTAAAAATAGTTTTTACCTGGTACAGGCTGTCTCTCACTCCATTCACTTGTGATTAAAATCTCTAGGATTTTTATGTGGTGTTCAGTATTATCAGAGCTGCAAGAGATGGATCAGACAGTAAGAATTAGGAAAAATGCAGAAGCTTACAACAGAATTATTCAAAAAACATTGGAAAAATTTACAGCAATGCCCTCCACATTAGAAGTAAGGTCAGAAAATTAATTCATTAAATATAGTTTTGCATATATTGAACCCATATTGACAGTACAAAATATAATAAAGATGACCCATGTACCTTGCTAGCTGGAATTTGAAAAGCAGAGGGCTGAAAATTTCAGCCAGAGACCTTGCATTCAAGAGATTTTTGCTGGAGGCTTGACAAACTCTGAGGAAATGTTTGAGCAAATACTGGAGTGTGAGCCAATACTGGGGAGGTATATTTGGAGATCTGATGAGTTTCTTCAGCAACTGAGCGTATTCCTCTGAGCTCTGCACTTCTGCAAGCAAAGAGACAAAAGGCTCTTGATATCAGCACAGGAACATTTAACAAGTAAAAAGAAACTACATATGACTCCTTCGGAAGCATCAATATTACAAGAAAAAAAAGAGTAATTCTGTCCCTCATTAGTGCTGTAAGACTTCTTTCTTCTTTTGAAAAAAGTGAAATGCTCAGGGAAAAGTAAAGAACGAGTATTTAAAAGTCAAATGGAAACAGATATGCATTTTGGTAAAAACCACAATGTGTTCAGTGTGTACTGGTAGAAGTCTGTCTTGTGTTTAGTGTTACACATGATTGGGCAATTCTGAGATGCACTAGATAAATCTCACAGGTGCTGTTCTAACTTTGAAGGTTACCAGTAACAACATCCTGTCCTGAGATATATAACAGAATACTTGGCCCACATGCTGAAAGCCTATAAGCTGTACTTGTTTGAAACAACCACTGTAGATGATGAATCTTACGTGCATGTATTTCTCACTTTATAATCTGCAACTCCCAACATACCACAGAACACCATGACCTCTAATAGATTTACTCTGTCAGCACTGATAAAAAGTTAAAAATTAGCTTTCTGCATACAGATTAGTCCTTGATTTCCCCCCCCAGTTTTTCTATAGTCATTCTACTTACTAAAATGAAGAGAAATATGTTATCCCTTACATTTTCCATTATGTTTACATAAATAGCTAAGTAAGTAATCCATGTCTAGGTCTGAATTGAAGTAACTTTCATCAGAAGTGGTGAAAGTATGTATGTTTTCTGAGGTGCTGCCAGGTTGTGCACAATGTTCCCTGTTCTGTGGGTGACAGCTGGACCACTGGATATTCAGAATCTCAATAAAAGCTGTTTGACATTTGAAATAATCTGGTAATTGTACCTTGAGCTACAGAAATCATATCACTGTAAACAGCTGCTGGAATGATGGGATTTGGCAGATCCAGGAGATACCTCTTCAGAGCATCTGATAAAGTATGCACATCAAATGTCTCTAAATCCAACGAAGAGGCATCTAAAGGGAACGAGCAACAAATTTTTAGACATTAGATACTGGAAAAAAATATACAGCCTCATAATATTAGGGCTTTATACCAAGCCAAAACTTCTAACTTATACCTGGTTTACGGGGAACAACTTGTAAGAAAGAACGTAAGATACCAAGAAACATCTCAAAGATGAGGGACATACAGTGCTCAACACCATGCCCCAGCCTTCAGCATGTGATGAACCAAACAGCTTTCACAGCTGTGTGAGGCCTTCTGTCATATACAGTGCAGGGCTGAACTCTAGTGACTTGCTGCATGTTGGCAATGTTGTGGAACAGCAGAATATTTTTAACAGGTCTCTGTTTTACCTGTAAATATTTTGTGTAAGAAGTAAGTATTAATCAAGGGTTTGGGAAAATGCAGCTTCTACACTGGCAGCTAATTCTATTAGGACTGTCAGCCTCACCTCTGTGTCTGGGAAGATCACAGAACAGATCCTCCCAGAAGATATGCTAAGGCACATGGAGGACAGGGAGGTGATTCGAGACAGCCAGCATAGCTTCACCAAGGGGAATTCCTGCCTGACCAACCTAGTGGCGTTCTATGATGGAGTGACCACATCAGTGGACAAAGGAAGAACTACTGATATCATTTATGTGGACTTCTGTAAGGCCTTTGACACGGTCCCCCACAACGTAGAATCACAGAATCTTTGGGTTGGAAGGGACCTTTAAAGGTCACCTAGTCCAATCCCCCATGACCAGGGACATCTTCAACTAGATCAGGTTTCTCAGAGCCCCGTCCAACCTGACCTTGAGTGTTTCCAGGGATGGAGCATCTACCACTTCCCTGGGCAACTTCTTCCAATGTTTCACCACCCTCATTGTGAGAAACTTCTTCCTTAAATATATATATCGATACATTCCTTAAATAACATCCTTCTCTCTGAATTGGAGTGATGAATTTGATGGGTGGACTGTTGGGTGGATGAGGAATTGGTTGGATGGTCACATCCAGAGGGGAGTAGTGAATGGCTCAATGTCCAGATGGAGATCGGTGATGAGTGGTGTCCCTCAGGGCTCCATATTGGGACCAGTGCTCTTTAGTATCTTCATCGATGACACAGACAGTGGGTATAAGTGCTCCCTCAGCAAGTTTGCAGACAACACCAAGTTGAGTGTTGTGATGGACATGCCTGAGGGACGGGATGCCATCCAGAGGGACCTGGACAAGCTCGAGAAGTGGGCCCATGTGAACCTCATGAGGTTCAACAATCCCTGGGCAACTTCTTCCAATGTTTCACCACCCTCATTGTGAGAAACTTCTTCCTTAAATATATATATCGATACATTCCTTAAATAACATCCTTCTCTCTGAATTGGAGTGATGAATTTGATGGGTGGACTGTTGGGTGGATGCGGAATTGGTTGGATGGTCACATCCAGAGGGTAGTGGTCAATGGCTCAATGTTCAGATGGTGATTGGTGATAAGCAGTGTCCCTCAGGGGTCCCATATTGGGACCAGTGCTCTTTAGTATCTTCATCGATGACACAGACAGTGGGTATAAGTGCTCCCTCAGCAAGTTTGCAGACAACACCAAGTTGAGTGTTGTGATGGACATGCCTGAGGGACGGGATGCCATCCAGAGGGACCTGGACAAGCTCGAGAAGTGGGCCCATGTGAACCTCATGAGGTTCAACAAAGCCAAGTGCAGGATCCTGCACCTGGGTTGGGCCTACTCCCAGTATCAATCCAGACTTGGGGATGAAGGGATGAAGAGCAGCCCTGATGAGAATGACTTGGGGGTACTGGTGGATGAACAGCTGGACATGAGTCACTTGCAGCCCAGAAGGCCAAACGTATCCTGGGCTGCATCCAAAGAAGCATGGCCAGCAGGTCGAGGGAGGTGATTCTGCCCTTCTACTGCACTCTGGTGAGACCCTACATGGAGTCCTACATCCAGCTCTGGAGCCCTCAGCACAGGAAAGACATGGACCTGTTGGAGAAGGTCCAGAAGAGGCCACCAAAATGATCAGAGGGATGAAACATCTCTCCTATGAGGAAAGGCTGAGAGAGTTGGAATTGTTCAGCCTGGAGAAGAGAAGGCTCCAGGGAGACCTTATTTCATCCTTTCAGTACTTAAAGGGAGCTTCTAAGAAAGATGGGGAGAGACTTTTTAGCAGGGCCTGTACAACAGGACAAGGGATAATGGTTTTAAACTAAAAGAGGGCAGATTTAGATTAGATTTAAAGAAGAAATTTTTCACAGTGATGGTGATGAAACATTGGAAGAAGTTGCCCAGAGAGGTGGTAGCTGTCCCATCCCTGGAACCATTCAAGGTCAGGTTGGACAGGGCCCTGAGCAACTTGATCTGGTTGAAGATGTCCCTGGTCATGGCAGGGGGGTTGGACTAGATGACCTTTAAAGGCCCCTTCCAACTCAAAGAGACTATGATTCTATGAAGTCTGATTAACAACTTGGGGCTCCAAGTCTGTAAATATTTATGTAAGTCAAAACAAATATATACATGCAGAACTGTGTGCTTCGTGTTTTATGCAGCTGTTAAGATTTATCTTGTAAAATCTGGTATCCTTCCAGGGTAGTTATGACTTGGGCTAAGGTTTGGGAGTGTCACTTAAAAGACTACTTGGTATCACTGGAGCAAGGAATATAAGTAGCAAAAATAGAAATAGGAAAATACAGAAATGGTTACTTAAAACAAGCAAGATTAGGATTCATCTTAAAACATGAAACTCTGGTGCAGTAAAGTCCTAAATGTTTACAAACATCCACATTTAGTATAAGAATTTAAAGGTATTAATGCTGACCAACTTTCTAGGCTAGCCAAGTCCCCTGTAAAATAACTCCTGTACCTATTTGGCCAGTTTAAACCAAATTCAACAGGGAGGTAGAGGAATCAGATATGTGGTCTCTCTACATGTACTGTAAAAAAAGGAAGTCAAATGGGAGTAGTGAGAAATGTAGTGCTCCTCCACCTCCTTTCTATTTTCCCCAAAGGAAAGCTTGCAATATGAGCTCAATTCTTATCAGACACCAAAGAATTTAAATGAGAGAAGAGACACTATGAATGTCTCAGATGATAAAAAACTTGCAGTGTGGATACGAATTCTACAAGAGCAATTATGTGTCAGAGAATCCAACCACAAGTACAGAAGAAATAGTTTTCATTAGTTTTATTGCTCACAGGATGTTTTTAATTTCATAAGCCAAGTTAAATCCTGGTTCTTTCAGTGTTGACCCATTCTCTGAAGTATATCCCAAATTATTATAATGAATACATGAGTAAGAATAAAGCTGTGGTACTCTGCAACTCTTTGGGTGTAATGTCATAAACAGACCTGAACTCTTCCATCTGCCAAGCTGGCCAGATGCAAGTCAGCTTTGACTTTGGAGCTAGACAGCACTGTGTTGAAGCTAACAGGCAGTTATCCAAATAATATGGAGAGCATTTTAACCATAAGCAGAACAGCACACTAATGCAGTTCACAACTTTGAGACCAAAGCTGACTGTGCTCTCTGAATTAGCACTCTGCTAATTCAAAGAGAGTAGGTGGAGGAAATGAGATCTGTCTGTATCCATGTATCTGGATGCCTACTGCACTGGCTCTGTCCTGAAAGATTCTGATCCTATCTTAAAGAGAACTCAGAAAGATACACTTTTACTAAAGGGTAAAGTCCTGTTTTATTTTCTCAAACCTAATTACATTTTAAATAAGAATACATGTAAACCACAAGTTCTTGATTTCAGGAGATAGATGAACCTTTCACAAAAGTACGCTTCAGTTTAGAGACGTAAAAAAGGATTTAGATAAATTAAGAGATACATTCATATTGGTGCCATAGAAGATCTGGATTTATCTGGACTGAAAAATATAATTATAATACTAAAAATACAGCTTAGGTTGTTAGCACCATGGGTGTATCTCCTCTTCCTGCTTGTTGCACTCATACACTTCACTCCTACCATGATCAGCAGAGGACAGGGTGCTCTTTCGATTTGAAGGAACAGGCAACTCATAGTATCGTGTCTTGTTCATTTTGTTAATATTTGCAATTACTAAAAATGAAGATAGCTAATTCACAGCTTGAGTTTGCTTCCTTTGTCCCTTTGGTGACATGGCATGTAACGAATTTCATTTTCTGGTCCTTGTATTTTTGTGCTCTTTTATGAAAGTGGAAGCTCACACCAGCTTGCAAAGGTGTGGCCAAGCACTCATTCTACACTATCTCCTGATCTCTCATAGTGCAGCTGAGTGTTGCCATGACAGTATATTCCGGCCTGAGTAGAAATAAAGAGTACCAAAAAGAGAAGGAAATATATTTCATGAAACTTGAATGGCTATGTGGTCTTAGTGGTGTAGCTGCATTTTACTGTCCAAAACCTGAGAACCCAGCCTACTGCAGCAACATTAATTCAATTCTTTCTTTCCCTTCCAGCATCATCTCTATAGCAGGCAGGGAATGTGCAGCTATTGCTTCTCCACCTACTGGACCAAAAAAATGCACACACAGAACTGTATATAAATAAATAGCCATTTGTTTACAAAATAATAACCTGCAGCCTTATAGGAGTAGTGTACCTTCATCTTGCTTCTGAACAGAACACCTTGTTTTCCTCTGTACAGCTAGGCTGTCAGTCCTTGAACAAGCAAGTGACCAAGAAACAATTAAAATCATTATGCTTGGGAAAAAAAACACGCAGTGGAGACATGAAAAAAAGACAACCTGAAAAACATCTTTCCTATTAAGTGTAAAAGCTAGAAATCGTTTTTGCTTATTCTTTTTTTAATACTGTATTATTCAGAACCAGCACATATATATAAGCTTAGTAGGGGAACAAAGAAAAGAGGAGCAGTCTGACCACAAAATCTGTCTAGTGCTTTAAGGACGAGAACTGTACTTACCACATTCAAGAATTTGTCTTAATTCTGCTGAGCTGCTTGAGCCTTGTGTTCCATACAAAGTTGAGCACTCCAGACCTTCAAAACAAAATTGATGGGATACATTAATATTCCAGTGACTGTTGCCATGACATAACATACTTCTGTTTTCTTCAACCAAGTACTTACATTGTAAATTAGCAACATACTCCCATCACGATTCACCTACCACACTAAAGAATGTGATTGCTTTTTAAGGCTCTAAGACACCTCTTTCTAAATGCCAGACTGCTGGGTCTGCTGAAGGAGTTGGTCAAGGAAGATCAAAGATGCCACCAGCCCCCAACATTCTGTACAACCTTCCATGGATTGGCTGTAGAAGGCCAGGACTAGGAAACAGATTCACATACTCCAGGGAAGAAAACAGCTTGCAGGAGCAACATGGGAGCCAGACCTTCCTTTACACCCTACATGCCAGCTGGAAACATCAGGTGTTTCAGGGGGAGCAGTGAGCAATCTAAGTCAGGCCACCCCACAGGAATGGGTCAGGGACATGACAAAAGTTACGACATATCCTAATTAGCTTTAAAGATTTAACTGAGACTTCTACATTACAAGTGTGCCTAACCTTTATCATGCCAGGCAGAAAACAGAGACAGAGAGCCCCTTCTATGGGACAGGTAACCCTTAGGTCATCTTTGATTATCCACAGAGCCCATAACCTCACATGTATGTAGGGTGAGTGTCACATCACAGGTGTGAGAGAAAATGTCTGTATATGTCACATAATATGTCTGATAATCCACCTGAATAAAGACACCAATACTGTGTTTTCATGTGAAAGATACTGTTTACAGCTTACCTACTTCAGAGAAAATAGAGAAGGCACAAGGAAAGTCCCCATACCCGGGGATGCAGAGCACCAATAATTTAATAGTATGAGTATCCTTTCCTGGAAGCAGAGATTCCTTATGCAAACTGTTGCTAAATACTGTTATATTGTCCCTCCTCATTGATTAGCAAGCTCCTACTCATTCAGGAAAGGCTTATTGTCTTTTAAAGTGTCAGAGCAGTATGTGAGAACCTATGTTCCCAAGCACAGCAGTGCGAGTCTGATCACAACACCACTTTTCATTTTGCTCCCAGGCCACTGAATGAGCAGGACCCACTGAACCCACCAGGACTATGAAGGTGACATCAGAGGAAGAAGCAAGAGGAGAGAAATCGGGCAAAAGAGGAGGGACATAGTAGAAGAAAATGATGTGAGACACATCAACACAGGAAAGCAGGAGAGCAAAAAAACATAAAAATAACACTGGCTGGCTCTGCATAGAGCAGCAATAAAGAACTAGCTCCCAAAGCATAAAAACAGTTCTTGTGACTTTTCCATATTTAATTCTTTTTTTTTTTCTTCCTGCTTTGGGGCAAAACATTACCTGTTTGGCTGTATATCCAATTCAATGTTATGATGGCATTTCCATAACCAACTTAAGATGCTTACTTGTTAGAAGAAACAGAGCAATACCAAACCCTTCTCCCCTACTTTCAATAATACTTATATTAGTTCAGTTATTAAATGTCATTTGAGGCAAGCTTTCGTTTTGCTCCTACAGTCCAAGTAGCCTCTACTTAGCAGAAACCAATGCAACAAACCTTAAATAAGATTACTTTGTATCTGTTGAGTAATGTGAAGCATTAGCAGCTCTCGAAAGAGAAGATGCCAGCTCTCGGTCTGATTCTGCAGTCTTGGCTCACATGAATAACAAAAAACCGTGGTGCATCATTCTTCAGCCTACCTTTCTTTTCAATTGTCTCTACTATCTTGATAAGAATCGGTGGAGCAACATCAGGAGGTGCAAACTGCTCCGTAAGATCTGGAAGTGAAAAAGCTGTAAAAGAAAAAGAAGAAAAATAAGCCAAGCTAGAGTTGAATGCAATTCCTGTTTATGAAAGTCATGACACATAATGGAACCAGTTAATTTTAAAGTATGGAACAAACATCCCACTTGTCAAGCCTAAACAAGAACACTCCACAAGTAAGCAGAAAGCCAAATTAAAATGATGACAATTACATTTTTATAGCATTTTCTTTTAGGGACCCCAGGCAGTCCTAGAATCACTCTCTATATTGCCGAGGAAAAGAAAACACAGTAAAAGTTTGCAGTCTATGGAAGTTCAGAAATACAACGCAAGGAAGAAAAGAAAATATCTTTTGGTCTGAAACATTTACATCCAGTGTGCACCAGATGAGGGAGCTAAACACATCACCATTTGGCAATTGCCGATCCCCTGGGTAAAACAAACCTATAAAGGCCTGAAATATCAGTAGAAACAAGTTTTTCACACTCATACAAAAGTTCAATAGCTTCTGTTTGTTTTCAGTTTTCAAGCATAATACTATTAACAGTATTGTTTTCTTAAAGTAAGAATTTTCTTTTCTACAATGACTGACTAAGAATAAATAGCAGTATAATCAGAGAGGGACATTTTACAGATTCAAACAAAGTTGCATATGGATTTTACACAAACTTTTCATGCAATCCAGTTTCTTCACAGAGAGAACATACTGTATAAAGGAATGTTCTGGCTCTGTGATGTGAGGGATGATCTATCTCTAAGCGCACTATTTTTGCCAAAAGAGTAATTAAAATTCAGAACGGTCCCGTTTAACTCTTGGAAAGCAAGAATTTTTACATAAAGATATTATTAAACTACTGCCAGAAACTTCTGGAATAGTTTGATGGATTGTCATTGATAAACAAAGCTTAATCACTGAAGTAAAAGTTGCCAGTTGTCTCAGTGATGGTGATCTCTGCCCAATTAAACTCACCACAGACAAATAGAGACCAATTCTTAAATGCACATGCACATATGTGCCTGCATGCATATGTATACATACATGCACGCACATGCACACACCATATTTCTAGAAGACTGAAACTGAACAAAATTATAAGGATAACTAAGTAGAAGGCAAAAAAGAAAAAAAAAAAAAACCCACAACAGCAAAATGTGAATAGAGAGTTTTTAATGAAAAACTTTGAGACAGCCAAAAAATTACATATACTGCAACTGAGAAAGAAAAAGCAAACAATTTTGGCTAAGAATTCACCGTATTTTGGAAACAACAATTATATAACTTTCTAAAAATGCAAGCAACTTAAAAGTGGTAAGACAGCAAGGAAGGTACAGAAGAAGTTTCGAAGTGCAGAAAACTGAAGGGAGAAATTAAAGACAATAAATAATAATTATTTACAAACTAGTAATGGAAGTGGAGCATACTGGGATGCTGAGACATGTTCCTTGCAAGAAGAAGCAGAATGATGGTATGGTAATGATAGAATACTTTCCAGTCCATTCATAACTGAGAAGGACATTAGAAAGACATCTGTTAGCCATAACAGCTTAACTTAGGAGGCCCAGAAAATGGGCATTCAGGAGTCCCAAAAGAGCTGCCTAAGCAGATCACTGGCCTGCTGATGTTGCTTTTTAATGACTCGTGGAAAATCAGAGCAATTCCTGAGGATCAAAAGAGTTCTAATGCCCAATCTGCACTCTGAAAGGACAAGATGACTACACACTAGTGTAGTGATCAGTCCTGGGCAAAATAGAGGAAAACCTGATACTAGACTCATACGATAAAGCAATAAAAGAGCAATGTAACTAAGGATTGTCTGCATAGCTTTTTAGAGGATAGGTTCTGTTAAAAACCACACTACTTCCTTCCTTGGTGGCACCACAGGCTGAAAAATGCAAATGAGTAGACATAATAAACTCTAAAGTTTTGTCAGATAGTTGATTTAGTCTAACACTGTGATTAAAAGCTAAATTCAAAGTAAGCGTGTGTTATATAGGTGCAGCTGACCAGCAAATCTCCAAGTATAGTTACTAATGCTGAACAAGCTACTCAGGGAAGGAATGGACTTTTCATCTCTTTACATCTCCAAACCACTCTCAGGTTCCATCAGAACCTGTTTTAGCTTAACATCCTATCTGCTTTATCAAATACAAGTTTGGTCCACCTCAAATGGAAGGTGCTGCATTCTGCTGAGGCATGCTGAAATACAGACCATTTGATTTGTAATATTCAGATCAAATAGTTCCTTTCAACCCCAGTCTATGAATCTATCTCATGATGAGGGCAAATATATTGAAAGAACAAATGAAAGATCTGATCAGAGTCATATCAAAGGGTATGCTATGAAAATACTCAAGTTATGAGATACTAATAGACTCACAGAATGCTAAGGGCATAAAATGCATCCCTTACATGGTAGCAGAGGAAGGACAGGTGTTAAGAACAGAGCTTACATATTTTTACTTATGAGAGTAACTTTCTGCTCCCTTAGGTAGCTAGTTACATTAAGTACCTCTCTTCCTCTTGCCTAACAGCAATGAAATTGCATCATCTCTGCACGAAGATGTTAGTCTCATGATTCCAGCTGGAAGCAGCATGAAGCAACAGTCAACAGTCTAAACTGAAACTGAAGAAAGAAAGGATAGATGAAGAAGGGGAAATAGAGACAGAGCGCAGAAGTCAAACCTGACAGACATTTGAAAGATTTCAGGTGACAACTTGGCAGTTCAGGGATGGTCCATCCCAGCTACTGAACAGCAAAGAGGATGATGCTTTGAAATCATGGCAAGAGATACACTCCAAGTACCTATAAACAAGGTGTATTTAGAAGAGGAATTCCATTTCCCACTAGTTATTTTCTACATGAGGGATGGAGTTCAAGCAAAGCAAAAAGGCAAACCCAATGTCAGGAAGACTTAATTTCACGGGAAGTAGCCCTTGCAGGGTGAAGAAAGACACTACAGAAAACAGTTTGTCTCCACAGGACATAAAGAATTGGGTTAATGTAGTCCTCACCCACATTACCTAAACAGAGTGTGCCTCTTTTTGCAACCTACCTGATGCTCCATGCTTTTCACCTACACTTTAAGCAGGATCGTAGCTTATAAACTAGGTTTGTACCGTAATCTGTTACTGAATCTCTTTGTTGTACAGCATTCTTGAATCAATAATATTCTTAGTGAAGGTGAAAGGCTTTTGGAAGCTATGTATTTACCTTCGTATTTATACAAAATCTATAATATGTCTACAGAATGTATGTATGTAAAGCAAACATCACATTGGTTAAAAGGAAAGATTTCCAACATTCCTCTGCTACCCTAAAATATGCAATTGGAAAAATATTAAAATTGGAGGAGTTCAGAGATTGTCTCTTCTTCCCTAAACCCCATTTCTTTTCTCCAAAACTGGAAATTTCTATCCACCACAGACATTACTGAAATTTCAGATATGAAGAGAGCCTTTAAAATAACGACAATCTATTCCATAAATACATAAACTATTTGACTGAAAACTCAGGATATTTGCCCTTCTCTTAATACCAGGCATACACTGGTGAGTATAAGCTCTACAGCAAAAAGACACAAACACACACACAATGGTAGGTACAAAACTTGGAGTTACCTTCAATGCAGTAATGACAGAAGAATATATAAGTCACAGAGTTATAGTGCTCAGCAACATTGAAAAAAACATTCACTTCAACAGGTAGGAGATAGCATTAACAAATTAAAATCACTTAACCTCCCACCTGTTCTAGGATTTCCTGCTCATTACACTACCTCCAATATAATTAACTCATAGCATCATACTGACTTGTACTTTAAACTCACCAACTTCTGCACAAAATAGAAAACTATGTTCATTCAAAGGCAAAAGGCATCACAAAACACACATCTGTCAGAAAAAAACAGCCTAACAATACTTATAGAACTGAAGCCAGTTTATAACATTTACACAGAAACAGCCAAATTTGGGGACATTGTCCTTCAATTTCAAAATGCTGAAAAGAAATGGAACTGAAGAAAACTACACCTAATTTTGGTTTGACCAAAAAAAACCAGTTTGACCACCAGAGCCAGAATACAAGATATCCCTGAAATAGTCCTGATTCAAGATTAGGTGTTCCAGAAGAAAACTCAGTATGCATATTAAGATCTACAGAGGGAAAGAAAAACTGTACAGATAGGTCAGTTTTAGTAAAAGTGAAGAGCACAAAAGCCCACATGCAACCTGCATTTAGTACCTGATTTCAAAAGCATCTTTTGCTTTGAAGCATGCTGTAGCACAGCACAGAGGTTTGGAGAACCAAATTCACTCTTAAGAATCTGAGCAACTTTGTAGATCCCTTTGCTACAATCCAGTATCAGTTTTTCACTTAAAGCAATCATTTTTTCCCCCAAATTCCTGTAACTCTTTTGAAATTCCACAGTCTCCAAAATATTAAGGTTCTGAAAAGCTGTCATACAGTTTTCATGTCTTCTTTCTAGTCACAAGTCTGGTAGTGGGTCTCCAGATAGTAAGGAAGCTTCTGATGACACATGATAAAAGCTGGATTTTCCACTAGCTCTATTTTTACCTTGCCACAGTGAGAACCAATGAGATGAACCACAACGCAGTGTTTGCTCCAATCTGCGAACCCTTCCCTCTCCCCGATACAGACAGGCCTGAACAGCTCTAAGGCAACGTGTGGGAGATGAGAGCATACCTTACATTTGAGGGTTGCCAACACAGCTACAAAGTGCAAGATGAAACCAGCACACAGCTGCACCTTTTGGAAGGGTTCTCAGTAAAAAGAGATATTTTAGAGTTAGTACCTGGCAATGACAAGTGGAAATTTAAAGCTGGAATTTGACTTCAGACACTTGTGAGCCAAATCTTTCATTACTAGGTAGAAGTAGAATGAAAGGAATATAGAAGAATGAAAAGGAATATTAAAAAAACCAAAACCCACAACTTAAAATGTAACAATACACACCATGGAAAGGAGTTTAATTTCTAAGTATTTTACAGGAAATATATACTAACATTACT